GTAATAACTTTTTTAGCTATACGTTTTACTGCATCTTCTTGCTGTTAGAGGTTTTCCATCTCTTCCTGATACGTTCTACAGTTCTTTAATGCTTCCGTTATCCACTGAAAATGAGCAATTCAAACACCGATATTTCCGCCTTCTTTGAGGAAACCAGAAATGACTGTCAAGCTGAATTAACAGAAGCGACTGCGACGTGTAGCTCTATGGCTACTGTTGACTATATCACTTACTGCGGTGGACTGGCTAGAGCCTGAGGGGTGTCTAGCCACTGGGCACTGGGCACTGGCCACTGGTTGCCAGTTGCCAGTTGCCGGTTGCCGATTCGATTAGGCCACGCAAATGTAATTTAATAAATGCGGTTGCCCATGTTGATTAGCATGTGCGGTTTTAGCAATTTACGAGTACTGCCGCATCCACAGGATATGAGCTGGCACTCTGACAATGACAGGATGCATCTGAAGTCAAGGCGCTCTCCGAGATGAACTCCGCACCGAACTCTCCGCCAACTCGGGACTGTAGACAGGGGAAATGTTTATGGTTATGTGCTCGCCTGCGGTGGCAGCTTCAAACGCTTGGTAATTGAATTTTAAATTGTGGCTCTACGTGCAACATGCTCCCCATGCAATCTCTCTCGCTCTGTTGTGGCAAGATTCATTTAAATTAAGTTATTAGCCAGCCCGATTGTGCTGTGACAGGGCGCAAACAAAAGACCTAGGCTCCAGCTTCAACGCCAGCCACGGCTCCTACTTTAACTCCAACTCCTACTCCAACTGCAGTTTAAAGTGCCCTGATATGGGGATATGGGATATATGCATGTCTACAACGGGTTTTTCGTCTCGCACTCGTATTCGTAGTTGTTGCTCTGCATTTGAAAGTTAAATTACGGTAGCGATATCGGAGCAGACATTCCGTTAATTGGCCGCACAACAGGCGGAGATCAGGCTGCGGGTAGTAGTTGGATACTCTTTTTTTTGACCAGAACTTATGGGATTTCCTTAAACTTTCTTAGCTGAGAGCTCTAGTCGGACTCCCTTAAGATATTCTGAGAAGTTCTTGATGGAAATGATTGTGTCCCCAAAAAGAAAAAAGGGACACATGGACTCTATCTCAAATAAATTTGAGATAATCTGCCTTTTGTTTGCGATATTTAAATTGCAGAAACGAGGCTTAGTCAGAAAATATACTGGACTGTTCTTTATTAAATCAAATAGAACTACATTTATAGTATCTTCATATGTAGAATATATGTAAGATTTGACCTATATAAATATATTGCTTTTTTGTATATCTTTTGGTAAGTGCAACCAATCTTCGCTGTGTCGTTGCAGCCTTTCCTTCTTGATGCTGTTTTTTTTTTTTGTCTTATTTTGGCTAAGTCCGCTTTACAGTTGCTACGAAAATTGTTGCAAATTGCAGTTTAAAAAGTTTCCGTGTTGGTTTTTTTTCTGTGTTGTGTTGTGGTTGTTGTTGCTGCGCGGCACGGCACCAACGTTGTTGGCGGCGGCGTCAGTGTCTGCGACTCGGCGGCGACTGCAACTAATATGAGTCATAAATTTAAAGCCTTAACTCGAGATGGAGGCTGGGTCGGGCCTGTAGTTGAGGTTGTGCCGTTGACAGGGATTTTCAAAACGAAATAAATTAACGGCATTACAGCTAGTTATATGCAGCGAGATCAGGGTCTGGTGCGGCATAAACCACAACGACTACGTGCAGCGACATCTGTGCGACAGCGACAGCGACAGAGTGTTGTGTTGGTGGCACTCGAAAGTTGAACTGTATCTGAATCGGAACTCACTCGTAACTGGGCTGGGCCAAAGTCGTCTGGCTACTTTTGCATTTGGTTGCATGCTGTGCTGCCCCCGTCTCTGCATGAGAAGCCATTTTATTGATACAGATACTCGTAGAGGCCAAATTTTGGGGTCCACTAAAAGAGCCGCTTGATGTCTGCTGTTTTATTTGTATTTTTTGGCAGTTCCTTTGCCACGGACCCGCAGCATGACATCATTTTGAGTTACTCCGAATCCCAATTCAAGTCTTTTTGTGGCTGCAGCAGCCCTACACAGCGGAAAAAACTGGTCGCCGTTTTTACTTTCGCTTTTGTCTTGAGCTCATTTTTTCTGACTTTGTTTCGGTCTCTGTGCTCTGCTCTTTTTTTTTGGCAGAGATATTTCGATGGTCTCCATTTTTATGTTTTTGGGTCATCCCAAAGAAGTGCCCGCCGCGTATATGGCAATGAAAACGAAACCAAGTTCTGGTGAAAGTAGGTTGTCCCACCATCAACATCACGAAATGGAAAACGCATAACAAGTGCAAGTCAAAGGAAGACCACATGGTCGGTGCCATGAGCGCGCTGAGCGATTGTGTCATGGCTGGAGCCCACGCATCGCATCGCCCACAAAGCCACCAAAAGCCTCCACAGACTAATGATGTTAGACAGGCACAGGTTGGCACTGACTTGGGACTTGTCTTTGACTTTACGTAGATTCGGTTTTGGGTTTCGTCTTCGAGTGATTTGCTCATCTGGTTCGGTGCCCACACAGTTTGACTCTTTTTGGCTTTTGCGGCAGTCAGAAGAGATCAATGCGAAATGCCTATATGTGCGAAAATTAATTAGAATTCTGTGGCTTTGGCTGGGAAAAGACCTTGGAATGGCAGCTCCAATCTGCTCCGATGCTTCGGTTCAAAATACTGAGTGGGATGCACAAACTAGTTGGTGATCAGAGCAGCCAAATGAGTCAGTGTTTCGGCAAATGCTTCTTGGGTCAGTCATCATAAATCTCTTCGGGGGCTGTCTTTGATGGAATGAAGGAGAGAGACATGACTGACGAATTACACAAAATCCCTTGCATTAATCTTCCGCCTGGTTGAAAGTAGCCACAAAAGTCTCTTTCCCACGAGTTTCACTCGTTTCACTCGTTTCACTCTGGCCATAAAACTTCAGTTTTATTTGCATTCAATTTAGTTTTCATCGACTAATGCCGCTTGTTGGCTAAATCTTTTGTTTCCTACTGCAATCAATCGCGAAAAGTCTTTAGACTGAAACAAGTTTTTTTTTGCTCGTGTCTTTTGATTTTGCAATTAAAATTTCTCCCTCTGATAGAGATCTGTGCACTGCGTGAAAGATGTGTCGCCTTATGGCGGAGTCTTCTAGGGAATGGAAATCACCAGCGAAGCATTCACTTGGGTCTTTTTGGGTCCCTTGGCTCATTTAATTGTGGCAATTTCTTTTGCCCACGCAGCGAGTGAGTCAAGTCGCTTTGGCTCATAATTTATAGGCATTATTATTGTAATTTCTCCCAGATGCCGGCGAGGGAGACGGAGCAGATCGCACGCAAAACAATCATACACGTAAAGTGAAAGTTTTGCACCTTTTGCCGCACAACAAACAACTAACAAACGCATCGGCATAAACAGTTTGAAGAAAACAAAAGTAGTCGAGGAGTCAGGTAGTCAGTCAGTCAGTCGTTCAGTCAGTCAGTTTGGAAAATCAGTTAGCGAGTCAGTCAGTCAGTGCGATCCCCCAAAGATGAGCCACGAACTCCAACCAAAGTACAACCCACGACCAGACCAAAGACAATGGCTTTCAAATGACTGGCAGCAACTTGTACTTCCAGCCAAAACTGGCGCCGACTGACTGACAAATGAGAGCTGCAGTAGTCGCTTTTTTTCTGACCAAAAAAATAACAAACCAAAACAAGGCAGAGCTAGAGATCTCCTACTGGCATCATCAATAAGCCGTAAGCAATTTGCGGCAAAAGCTGTGGGCAAAAATTTCGACAAATATTCGCATGCCAACTGTGCGTTTGCCTTGGCCACAAAAATCACTCCCAAGAGTCAAGCAAATCTGCCGAAAATCTAAACAATGCCAAAAACACGAACGAAAGACTAGCCTCGAAGTATTTGATACCCTTAAAGATATAGATATATTTTATGATGTTATAAAATACAGCTACTTGAGCTTCCTAAAATTATATGCAGAAAGACAAAACTTGATATCTGAAAGACTGGTTTCCCGACAGATTTAACCTATTGAATGTATACAAAATGAGCAATAAAGGTCTTTGCCAAGTTTCTGCTAGACGAAATCAATATTATAATAACTGCCTTATACCCTAGAGATTTTCTGAGACCTCAGCGTACAGGCCCAGCATCATTTTGGTCAAATATTGGGTTACTTGTAATGCCTTGACAAACTCTTTCTGTGACCAAGTGAGCAAAAGTGTGTCAAGCCAGCATTTGAAGCAATTATTTGTCATATTTTCTATTTGTGTTTGGGTTTCGTCTTCCACAAATGAGATGCAGAGAAAATAAACAGCATTAGTGGAGAGCTCATGACCAAAAATCCCAGTGACACGGCGTCTTCGGGCCCGCTTCCATCTGCGTATTCATCTTCACCAAACTCTCGACTCATCAAGTCCCACAATGACTTTGGCTTGGGATTTTTGCACAAATGAAAGTGAACGTTTCTTTTTGTTGTTTCCACTTTTTATTTTTTAACACTGCATTGGGTGGAAAAAACGGAAATTTGTCATGTAAATTTTTGTATGCCAGCGTTATTTGTGTCAGTGATCTCAGGTCTTTTTCAGCTGGAAAATGGTGTGGGAATATTTTTCTACTACTTTGTAATGAGTGTGGAGAGACTCACTCGATTTCTTGTTAAAGGTCTTTAAACTTGCTTTTTAAATATTATTTATGGCTGTTTTAGTTTGTTTTTAAATTAATAAATTAACAAAATTTAACTAGTTTTTTTTGTACACAAAATGCATAAAATATAAATGGATTATCTGAGATTACTGAATTTTTGTTTGGAATTTTGTTGAACTAGTTTTTGGTGTCACAAAGTGACACAAAAACTTGTTAAATGACGTTTGCACTTGTCCCCGGCTAGCACTCATCTTGATCTTGCCCAAAGCTCCCTCTAATTGAAGTAATAATACAAATGTTTTATATGCCACTTAATGTTTGCACTTTGAAGTATCCAAAAAAGTTGTGCTCACCATTTTATTCATCAACTGGCGGCCAAAATCAGTTCATACTGCCAACAGCTGCCAAACGAAGATCGACGCCAGCAAAAAGCGTTGGCTTTTTCTCTTCTTTTGGCTTGGCTTTTGCTGCCGTAGCAGCTGCCAAAAGCGATTTGCCGTCAAAAGAAACACACAGATACACAGGCACACACACTGGATATATTTCTTAATGCGGGAATCTAACGATATTTCACGCTTTTCTTGGTACACTTTTGATTGGTTTGCGCGCGTTTGGTTTTTTGGAATTTTCACAAGGTAAAATTGAAACAATTAACAGACGCCTGACGTAAACTTTCACTGCAATTCAATAAATATTTGTTGCTTAGATAATGCGCTCAGGCAGCAGCAGCGTCTGCAGCTGGGTATCCGCCAACACACAGGTAACACTGTCTCTGTGCACACACACAGGCTGGTACTCTGGTACTCTGGCACTCTGGCACTCGGTACACACTGTATACACTTCGTAGGAGACCCGCTGGTAGAGAGAACCGCACCGCACGCGCGCTGAAAACGAACTGAAATGTGAAAGAGCTTAAAGCCACTGCCGATCTTCGTTGCGACTTCAAACTTGGCTCAAACTGCGCCTGTCTGTGTGTGTGTGTGTGTGTGTGTGAGAGAGTGTTTCCTTTCACTGTGTGTGTGTGTGTGTGCTTATGTGTATTGGCTGTTAGGCAACTTTGCTGCCCACACTCGGCCCAGACGCTCTTTGCCCGCTCTGCTGGTCCATTTTTGGCCTGGACCGCTCGTCGGCAGCAAACCAGCCAATAATTTTTTTACTCTTTTATTTAGTTTTTGTTATAACCGAGACGCCTTTGCAGAAAAAAAAACCTATACGATTTGTGGCTAGCTTTTGATATTTTGTTGCTTGTTGGCTACCAAGTTTTTCAGCTTGCTTTGACTTTTGATTGACGTAATTTTTGAGCTTGATATTCAGTTGAATTTCTTGTATTTCCACATTTAACCGTTTTGGTGTCAGGCGCACATTACACGCCCACAACACCCACACACATGCATATTTATATACACAATACACTGACTAATTGTGGGCGTGTGTCTGCCTCTTTCTTAATGTTTCTTTAACATTTTGTTTCAACAAGAGTTTTGTGAACTTTCGCTGTGGCGCGGCACGGAACTGCTTGGATCGTGTGGGTGTTTAACCCTCCATATTGGACGTATAGCCATTGACTCATTCGATATGCATGGCTGGCTTGCTGTCTTATGCTAATTAACCAGCTTAAACTTTGGTATTCAAGAGTTTTCCTCACCGAAAACTAAAGACTTAGGCAACGAACTGACCAACAGCTGACCTTGCATTGGGGGGCCTGGACTATGTGTATCAGATCGGGGTAGAGTACCCCATTTAGAGGGTCCCTGGCCCCTATCGACATGGCAATCTTTATTGCAATGAAGTAATTTCCGCATGTAATGGGACAAGCGGCAGCAGGACCAGCAGCAGCACCAGAATGTCTACCATCTTACGGTAACCCTTTTCTCTTTTTGAGAACGCCCCGTTTTGCACATTAATTTCTACGCCCCGCAATTATTTCATGCAGCAAATGAAGTATGAAGGAACATTAACGCAAAACGTGTGCCACATACCAAAAATGGGGCTAAAAACGAAAAAAAATTAACAAGAATAATTAAAAATGCAAGCTCTGGGAGGCTCAACCCAAGCTCAACCCAAGGAAAAGGATGAGGCATGACGACCGCCCGGTGAAGTGGTTTTTGCAACGGCAACAGTGGCGGGCGTATTCGTTTTGGCCAACAGACCAGTCAAGAGAGAGCCGAAAATCAAAATGCAGTAAAACTTTTATTTTAACTAAAATAAAACCTGCTGTAATTGCCCAACAGTTAGGGGCTGGCTAAATCCACTTACAAATTTTTTAATTGCCAATATTCCTTTTTTGAATAGAAGAACAAGTCAATTAAAAAAATATCTAAAAAATATGTTGGGAATAATTTACTATCCAAATACAATTTTATGGCTGGGATGGGTTAAAGGCGAGAAAAGCGCTGAACTTCCCTTTCCCTTCACTTTTTTATGAATCTGTTTCTTTTCAAATAAAGTCTCAAATCTCAGCAAACCTCAAGTCATAGCTGTGTTACCCTCGTCGTGAGAGTGCATTCACAGCCAAATCAAGCAAACTGCAACAGCTGCCACATGTGCCGCCACAGAGGCAACAAGTGCGGCTAATTTCATGCAAGTCTGATGTCTGATCGGGCCACAGGAGGGGCAAAGACTGAGAGAAAAACCCACACGCGTCGTCTACACTTGGCATATTTAACACATTTAATGAAAAATCAACAAAACATCAGTATTTATGATGGCACAGGCGATTCGACTGGGACTTGGCAGTTGGTCTAGGGACTGCCCTCATTGTTGCTTCAGCTTCGAGGCGCCACATTGCCATCCGCTGGTCCGCTGCTGCGTTGCTACGCTGGTTGTGGCTTTATTAAGTTGCTGTTGTTGTGGCCGGTGGCCGTTGCCCGGACCTGCCCAAAGTTGTCTGTTTTTATTAATAAGTCATATTTTTATATGGTTCAACCAAGAAGGTAGACCCAGAAGCGGTAGCAAAGGCCCGATAATTTATGTTGTTTGCTCGGGCTTCGAGGAGGATGACAAAAGTTGCAGCCGGACCAAGGGCAACCAGCGGCAACCATCCAGCCAGCCAGCCAGCCAGCCAGCGCCAGCGCTAGCTAGCTATGTGGGCTTATTCATAAGTCACTTACACAGTCATTCACTCACACACTCGGGGGCACTCATTCATTCATAAACAACCCAAGCAAAAGCACAAAACTCGAAGCTCATTTTGTGATTAATTAAATGCAACTTTGCTTCGGTTTTTATACTCTTAAATAAGAGTATTAAGATTGTGACTAGGTGTTTGCAAAGCAAAGGAGAGAGACCCATGCCTATACTTCAGCAGAACCAAGAGCAGCTAGTCCACATCTTTATGTTTGATTCTATGCAAAATTATGCGTAATTTTTTATGTTATTTATCTCCAAGTGTAGCAAAGGCTTCGACTTTCAATCAGACTTCTTTTCTTAAATTTGCTGCTGAAAAAGTGTGCCACTGCAACAGAGAGACAGAGATACATGCAACAGGTTGCTGTGATGTAAGTGTTTATGGTTATTTACAACTTTTTTATGACTTTATTAGCATTTAATATCTTCTTCTTTTTTTCGTAACTCTGTTAGTGGGCGAAAGTTTGTTGCCCAAGTCTTTTGCCCTGTGATGAATGGCTAATGCACTTTGCACCTGGCGAACCAGAAAGCAACTCAAACGTGGCCAATTGGCCTCCGGATAAACCCAAAAAATTAAAAAAAAAAAAACTGTGTCAAAGTCCTACTAATTTCGCGGGTTCATAGTCATTTTCCATTTTCGCGAAAAACATTTGCAAAAATATAATTGCTCAGTGAAGGCAAAAAAATTGGCGAAAAAGTCAGAAATAGTCCAAGCATTACGCAATCATTTAAACATCTAATTTCAGTTTCAGTTTTCAGCACAAACAAATTGCAGGGCGTCAACGAATTAAGCAAATAGTAATAGCCATAGAAATGTTTGCAAATTTTGTTGTATTTTATCATGTGTTTATTTTATGTTGTTGCCGGCACAGTTTTCACTCTTTTCAACTCTTTTTCAGCTGTTCAAATGTTTGAACATTGCACAAATACATATAATAGTTCCGAGATCGGGGGAAACGTACACTTGAGAAGCGAGAATCGATTGTTCCGCTGGCAAAATATCGAGCGAGGTGCACACAATGCCGTGCGCCGGCAGACTGACTCTCTGGATCGCTCTCTCCCTCTGTCTGTCTCTGTCTCGGTTGCAGTTGCGATCGTGTTGGCCAAGTTAACAGGCCTGGCCAACAGCTGACACACACAGCTCTGCGGCTCTCTATTGGGGCAAACCTTAGAAAAGGCAAAAAACTAGTTTCGTTTAAGTGCGGAATGGCATTTGAAAATCAGTTTGAACGTATAACAGTTTCAGATTGAGAGAGCGAGACTGGCTAGAGAGAGGGAGAATCAGTGAGAGAAAAAAACCAGATAGAGAGAGAGACAATCGGAGTGGCAGAGACACCAAACACCGAAGTGAGCGACTGACTAATTTGTTGTAGCTATTGTATTTGTCAAGTCAACTGATAAATTGAGTTGATATTGAAAATAAAATTAATTATATCTTCAAAAAATGGAACAACAACGAGCGGATTTTCATGGGGATTAGGCAAGAATTGAAGTTGGATCTGAAGCCGCAAGCGGATCTTGTACTTGTGGCTTAAAAAATATGATTTCATTTTGATTACCTTTCAAAATGAGGTCAGACTTGTATATAAATGCGTCATGGCAGATATTTTAAAATGAATTTATAAATAAATTTATACTGAGTTCATCCTGCAACTTGTTTTAGCAACTTAATTCATAGGTATAAAATGGCTAATCAAAAACATATAAATAATAATCATACAATACTGGCAATGATTCTTCTAGATTCTTTATACAAATCGTTTGCAGCTCAGCATATCATTAATTTTGTTTTCCTGCTTTTCGAAAGAACATCATCAATTAGGGAATGGCTTTATTAATCAAGTCAAGTGCTTATCAGAGCTGATATCAAGGCGATACGTTGTTGAAGAAGTAGGCCAGTTGGGGGAATCTGCCAGTCGTAGGAAATTAATGATGGGGTCTTCAACAGCAGGTGGGACTACATTCAAGTATTTTCTTATGGGATTTCATTTCTTATTATGCCTTGAATGGGCTTTTCGTATCAATACATGGAAGTAGATAAATCTTCTGCTCATTAAACAAGCTTCATTGATGTTAATTTCCTCCTTAATGAAACTTGTTTTGGATGGGTGCTGGAAAATCAGTCAAGAACACACACATCGATGGTAAATGGAAGATGTTTACCATTAAATAACCAACCTTTATCGAATAATTTTCCTCTCTTCTATTTACTGTTAATATTATTTTAATGTTTAAAGGGTTGGCTGAACCCGTTCCGCCCGTCTTTCATTTAAATTTTAACACTTACATTTTATTAAAAACTCAAAAATGTATCGAATTCAGCAGCTCAATTTGAGTCACGTTTTATATTTCTGCTCAGATCCTTTTGGCGATTTAAAAGACTTGACTGGTGCTTTCGGGTTTTGGGCTTTTGGCCAGCTCCAAAGTCACGTTTCCCCCATAGACAGCACGTACGCATAATGGAGGTGCAGTTGCAGTTTCAGAGCCAGTCCCAGTAAATGGTTTATGTTATTTGTTTGCTAATTTATTTATGTTTACGCGTTTTACTCCATTTGTGGAAAATAGGTAAATGTTTAATGGGGGGCTGCATGGGGAGGCTTGCATAAGTACTTTAAATAATTGCGCAGGCCAAGGCGCCCATATAGCAACTATATGCAACTAGTTACCCTCTCCGCCCCAGTCATTATGATTTATTTGACTTATACAAACCGCACTCACCCCCTCAGATTGCGTTGCATAAGGCACACTGTTGACGGGGCTGCCAAAACGATGACGTTATGCGAGGCGCGTGCTAAGGCGGCTCTGACGCGGCTTTGAGGCGGCTCTGGGGCTCTGACCTAAAAACCTCCTCTACTACGGTAGTTCGACGCCAACGCTGGCAACGCAGCCGAGGCTGCATTTGGCCTAAACAGAAATGCAAAATGCAAAACTCAAAATGCAACCAAATGGAAGCACCAATGAGGATAGAAGACTTTTGCATACCCTGTACAAAGATATATAAAATATAAATCGATTATTTGTAAG